ATACTTGATACTTGATACTTAATACTTGATACTTGATACTTGATACTTGATACTTGATACTTGATAGTTGATACTTGATACTTGATACTTGATACTTGATACTTGATACTTGATACTTGATACTTGATACTTGATACTTGATACTTGATACTTGATACTTGTTACTTGATACTTGATACTTGATACTTGATACTTGATACTTGATACTTGATACTTGATACTTGATACTTGATACCTGATACTTGATACTTGATACTTGATACTTGATACTTGATACTTGATACTTGATACTTGATACTTGATACTTGATACTTGATACTTGATACTTCATACTTGATACTTGATACTTGATACTTGATACTTGATACTTGATACTTGATACTTGATACTTGATACTTGATACTTGATACTTGATACGTGATACTTGATACTTGATACTTGATACTTGATACTTGATACTTGATACTTGATACTTGATACTTGATACTTGAGACTTGATACTTGATACTTGATACTTGATACTTGATACTTGATACTTGATACTTGATACTTGATACTTGATACTTGATACTTGATACTTGATACTTGATTCTTGATACTTGATACTTGATTCTTGATACTTGATACTTGATACTTGATACTTGATACTTGATACTTGATACTTGATACTTGATACTTGATACTTGATACTTGATACTTGATACTTGATACTGGATACTTGATACTTGATACTTGATACTTGATACTTGATACTTGATACTTGATACTTGATACTTGATACTTGATACTTGATACTTGATACTTGATACTTGATATTTGATACTTGATACTTGATACTTGATACTTGATACTTGATACTTGATACTTGATACTTGATACTTGATACTTGATACTTGATACTTGATACTTTTGATACTTGATACTTGATACTTGATACTTGATACTTGATACTTGATACTTGATACTTGATACTTGATACTTGATACTTGATACTTGATACTTGTACTTGATACTTGATACTTGATACTTGATACTTGATACTTGATACTTGATACTTGATACTTGATACTTGATACTTGATACTTGATACTTGATACTTGATACTTGATACTTGATACTTGATACTTGATACTTGATACTTGATACTTGATACTTGATACTTGATACTTGATACTTGATACTTGATACTTGATACTTGATACTTGATACTTGATACTTGATACTTGATACTTGATACTTGATACTTGATACTTGATACTTGATACTTGATACTTGATACTTGATACTTGATACTTGATACTTGATACTTGATACTTGATACTTGATACTTGATACTTGATACTTGATACTTGATACTTGATACTTGATACTTGATACTTGATACTTGATACTTGATACTTGATACTTGATACTTGATACTTGATACTTGATACTTGATACTTGATTGATACTTGATACTTGATACTTGATACTTGATACTTGATACTTGATACTTGATACTTGATACTTGATACTTGATACTTGATACTTGATACTTGATACTTGATACTTGATACTTGATACTTGATACTTGATACTTGATACTTGATACTTGATACTTGATACTTGATACTTGATACTTGATACTTGATACTTGATACTTGATACTTGATACTTGATACTTGATACTTGATACTTGATACTTGATACTTGATACTTGATACTTGATACTTGATACTTGATACTTGATACTTGATACTTGATACTTGATACTTGATACTTGATACTTGATACTTGATACTTGATACTTGATACTTGATACTTGATACTTGATACTTGATACTTGATACTTGATACTTGATACTTGATACTTGATACTTGATACTTGATACTTGATACTTGATACTTGATACTTGATACTTGATACTTGATACTTGATACTTGATACTTGATACTTGATACTTGATACTTGATACTTGATACTTGATACTTGATACTTGATACTTGATACTTGATACTTGATACTTGATACTTGATACTTGATACTTGATACTTGATACTTGATACTTGATACTTGATACTTGATACTTGATACTTGATACTTGATACTTGATACTTGATACTTGATACTTGATACTTGATACTTGATACTTGATACTTGATACTTGATACTTGATACTTGATACTTGATAATTGATACTTGATACTTGATACTTGATACTTGATACTTGATACTTGATACTTGATACTTGATACTTGATTCAGTGGTCCAGATCTTCCTTTCCTAGCCGCCCCCGAAGCGCCTTACCCAGGTTACACGTAAGTGAGACTGGTCGATAGATTGAAGTTTGTGCTCGATCATTATTCGCCTTGTGGATCGGGATTACGATGGCCTCCTTCCGATGATCGGGGAATGCGTGTGGATTCCAACCATGGTTGAATGTTCTCTGTAAATATTCCAGCTAAGAGGATGGATTCTTGATCAATGAATTCGGAATGCCGTCCGAACCTGGACTGGTGTTGCGGCATTTAGGTTTCCCAAAGGTGAACGAATCATTGATAATATCATGCTGAGGTATTGTCTCGTGGTGCTTCGTACTTGGATCAGTTTCGGTGTTAGAGTTATTCCGATGAACGATAAGGTCACTTGAGTTTAAGGCACATGGTTCTGCAAATCTTTTATTGTAGGCCAATGGAGGAGAGGACGATTTCCGGATGAGGCTCTGACTTCCACACCGTGGTCGAAGGCGTCATCTCGTTGATTGTTGAAGTAAAATATTCCAGCTGTTCCTTTTACTTTTTTTTAACCGTACGACGAGCTACAGCTCCATGTTTTGAAGAGGTTTCTTTATCCTTTTTCAGTGATGTGTATCTGCTAATAAACAATATTAAAAAGTTGTCCGGTTTTTTGTCAAACACACCTAGCAATCCTACTTCCAGGCGAAGACCAAGACTTGCTAGCATTTCCTTCGACCCAAATGGCTTAATACTTGCGTGACCAGTCAGGATCGTGATATACCTATAAAAGAAAAAGGCAATGAAAAAAAGGTAAGCAAGGTGTCAAAAAATCCTCCAACAGATCAATTTTTATTTATAAGTGGGCACAGTTTTTTAATTCCTCAACACAAACGTTTAACAAAAAGTTTAGGAAACGTGGTCTCCAATTATAATTCAGATTTTAAAGGGCCCTTTTTAGGGCCAGGACCTTGCAAACCTTGAAACACATACAGGTAAGTAAAATTGCGTAAAACGCATTGATGTTTTACAATGTATAGGATTGAAAATGTTACCTTGACGTTGGTTGCGCCAATGATGTTGACTTTTTCTCACCGACTCGTTGACTTGTAGTTGCTCCTTGTTATCGCTTGTTGTATGGAACCTACCTTTGTTTGCTTTACCTATATAAATACCCGTTATGTATTATGTGTGATGCTCAGATAAAGAGCAAACTTTGAATATCCCATAAAGATCAAAATCGATACGCTACCTGAATTATACCTTTAAATTAGAAAATACTGTCAAATGCAGTCTGATTTCCTTATGTTGCAAACGTTATAAGTTACAATTTAAACAATTTCATGTAATTTTCGAGCGTGACTGAAAAATCCTAGTCACATTGTATTGGACCAAAACAAATATGCAAAACATTTTCTCATTTACAATTCATTACATTATTGTAAATTCTAATTCTTTTGTCAACTACAATACAGTAGAAACTCCGTTAACCGAAACAAAGCGGACTGGGGATGTTTCGGATAACCAATATTTCGGATAAGCGAAATAGGCATAAGAAATGTAGAAATATGCTTATATTGTGCAACATGGAAGTGCGAGCCAACAAATTAAAGTATCTCCTCCTTGAAGTAACCGACGGAGCCCGAGATGATAGGAATGTTGGTTGCTTATACTGCAAAGTTTATCTATTGGGCAATCATTACTTTTGTCAATTACTGTACATACAGTAAAATATAATCGTTACTTTTTTTAGAAGTCAATACTGTTAATTGAAATCCTTTGAAAAAATCTTCAATTTTCCTTTGTTTACTACAGTTTCAGTTAATGGAGTTTCTGCTGTAAAGATAAAATAAAAAGGGAAAGTACTGTCTACTTGGTTTGAGCTCGTACACAATTTGAATCAAATGTTCGACTGGCGTTGAAAATTGATTCTATTCCTTGTTCAATTGTTGCTGTGTATGGAAAAGCACTTTTGGAACTATATTTAACACTTTTTCCATTAAATATAAATAATTAGACTATATAAAAATGAACGTTTGGTATTACAAATGTTTGTATACATGGTAATTCAAAAATATATATTCAGGTAAGTACCATATTAACGTTCCTATCAAAAAACGTCTTCTCAGTTTCATGTACTCCTTAAAACTCTATTGGTAGATCTTTGAATATATCGAAACAGTGGCGTAATCAAATGAGGATTGTGCCCAATTGCCCATTTTTGAGTATTGTTATCACAAGACAGTCGCATTAATGTTAAAATTTAAGTCGACGATTTGGCCCCAAATATCAATTTAGAAACTAATTTCGATCTGCACCCGAATTTTTGTTCAAAAAGAGACATAGAGGCTGAAATGCTACGAAGCCTGGAAAGCAATATTTCAAGATGTCACGAAATGTAAAAAAACTTCCGAGTTGTAACTCAAATTTCAATTTTACTGATAATGTTAATTAATCAGTAATCATGCAAGTTGAAAATTTTAAGTTCAAGTAAAAAGTTTCAGTGTTGGGATTGAAATTTCGACAATTAAAAAACTATTTCGCGTCGAGGGACAAATCAAAAACGTGATTGGAGTGTCTCTAGCTGCGTTTGTTTCCGAGATACAGCGTGAAAACAAAAAGTTTGACTTTCTGAGATGTTAGGTACTATTCATAATATTATCTTACTTTACCATGTAAAATAGAAAAACTGCTCACTTTAGATATTTTTACGTAGAATCCAGTGGCGTAGTCAAAAAATGTTGGACCACCTTTTCTGAGATTTAACCCAAAGTTTGTATTTTTTAATGCAACACCCTTAATAATCTTAACGTCGATTTTTTAAATTATTTTGCGAGAAAGTTAAATCTTTATTTATCTTAATTTGTTCAGATAGAAAACAAAAACAAACGAAAATATTACTGTTTATTTCTAGGTTGAGTGGTAGAGTAGAGTTGGGTTTTTGCGTTTGGGTTGAGTACGAGTGGGTTGTGATAACGTGCTGTGTTTCTGAGAAGAAAGAGTAATGTGTTTTTTAACTGTGCTAGGGCGTGTAACTTTATTGGGTGGACCTGTCTTTGTAGTGCACGTTGCGTTACTTGTATTTATTGCGTTTGTTTGTTCGGTAAGTTGTGTTTATTTATTTTTCTTTTTTATCTGAACAAATTAAGATAAGTCGGTTATATATATAATTAAATAAAGATTTTTCTAATTTGCTCGAAAACGAATCAATCGATTTTAAAAAATCAAACGTCAAAACAAAAGACCTTTCAAACTAGCTACTACTGGATACCACTTGTCATTTAAAATTCTTAAGGAAATGACCCTGGGGGGCAGAGGGGGGGGAGTTAAAAAGTTATCCCCTATGACATTTCTTTTGACGTGTCGAGACGGTGTTTCCTTTAATCAGTGGTTTTAGATAAATCCGTGGTATCATATTTTACAAAAATTTGAAATGACATGCCATTTTTATTGTATGGTATCATCTACAATAAACAAAACAAAATGTCCATGAACCCATGGTGTACTATTCAGTACAGTAAAAAACAACAAGGTTTTTGTGGCTAAAAATTAAAAATATATCAGTTGGACAGTTTGTACCTTTTTGTATATTTTCCTCAAAAGCAAATCTAACATCAGTTTCAAAATTTGATTTTGCGCATGCGCACTGCCAACTTTCTTTACCAAAGCATTTAAATTAAATTGTTTTATATTATACGCTCCGCCATTAGGTAGTATCCAAACTGTGAGAAAAGTAAGTACCTATTTGAAAACTGGATATTATACATAGTAAAATCAGTTATTTTACAATTGACAGTGTATTTGTTGATACCATTAATTTAACTAAGTATATGAAAAACTGTGTTTGCATAATTACTTTTTAATTTCTATTTTATTTTTTATATATTATACTTGTATATTTATTCAAATTATTATAAACTTTTCGTTTTCACTGTGTACCTTAGAAACAAACGGAAGTAGATAGATTCTGGTTCACAAAAAAGGGGCACAGAGTCCCGAAAATCGCAATTCTCTATCTTTAAAAATAGCTGAGATACATACAGTCTCAACTAAAATAGGGCACACAGTACCTGCACCCCATGTTTACACCACTGCATCGAAAAATATACGAACAAATCTACAAACCACTATATACGAGGGTCGTTTGATAAATCTCCTGTTTAGTAATGAATAACATTGATACAGAACCAAAATTTTTATTTTGTTTACCTTTTCTCCACCCCGCGATCCGCAAACTGACGCCATCACCTTACCCTCTTAAGGCACTGCTGTGACTGTTGCTGTGTTTCTGGAGTATATATGCGTGGCTCCAGGTTTGGTCCATATAGTTACAACGACGCTCGAGTCCAAATGATCCCACATGATTGATAACAAATGCAGTTTTAACCTGTCGCCACTAAATAGCGCTTTTATCATTTGCACATTACGAAACAGGAGACTTATGACCCTAAGAAAGTGGTTCTCAACCGGCGCGGGAGGGGGGGGGTTATTTACGGGGAGAAATTAAAGACAATATTTATTTAATACAATCACAAACCAGCCATTGATGTAGAGGTTTCTATTATGTATACCTAAAAAAATTATACTTCATTGGGGCAGTAGCATAATACTCAACCTAACTAAAGCGGCGCAGTGTTGAGAACCACTGTTCTAAGGCAAACAACTCTCTACTAATCTCTTTGGATCTAAACTTACAGAATTACACAAAGTAAAACAGTGTAGTTTGACGTCTTTCCCTTAAGATGGAAAGTGTTTTTATTTGCCTTCATAGGCATCGGTTGTGATTGGCATGCGTTACTTCGAATATTTAATTTCTTATATTACTCACTTCTTTGAGTGAAAGGGACCAGTAGACATGTAGACAAACGGCATTTTATGAAAAATTCGAACGGCTTGACGAATACTATCAATTCCACTTGTAGTACCGCTACCATAAGGAGGCACCGTTGAAGTTTCCAAATTTTGCATTACTGACCAATTATTATTATTACCTATTATGGTCGATGTTTCTTGTGAGAACTCAGGTCTAGCCTGGTTAACTAATCGCACGGATAAACGGTTAGTGTGCGTCTGTACGTCGTTCGTCTATTATTATTACTATTATTATGACACTGATGACACAGGTAAACGAATTATTAAATAAAGTTGGTAACGGGGCTTAACAAAGGCTTGGTGGATGATCATAATTTTTGGAAGTGTATTCGGTACCCAATAACCTGGATAAATACGATCAAGTGATAAAGGTCACTTATCATATCAATATCTTCAAAGTGGCCTGTCATTGGAAAGACATTCGATCATGGGCGATCGTTACTCACTATGTTACAGTGTGTAGCATCTAAAACCTCTCGCATCATAGTTTCTTGTTCTGAGACTACTTTAGAAACAACTACTTTCGTCTCTAAAAAGGGTGAAGAAAATGTGATTTTTCTCTCTAGTGAGGAAAGTAAAAAACAATTGCTGCGTTAATCTTAATAATGACATTTAAAAATGAAACATGCCCGTATCTAGATTGCTATGAATCAAACTTCATTAGTGCATGCGATAATTTTTCAATTTTGATTTTAGTTTCTGAAAAAATGATTGGGAAAACTTGATAAAGGTGTTTTTCAGCTCTCAAGTTCAAAAACTGTCTTCTCTAGTTGTACAAATTATTACCATAAGGGGTAAAGAAAGAAGTTTTAGAGAAAAATTGTACCCAATTACCGTGGACATATTTCATTTTTGATCACCAGGGGAGTGCTGTAGTCTAGTGGTGTACAAACTTACATTTTTAGCGCATTTTTGAAAAAAAAAACGCTATTATATTCGTTATGCCTGGCTGGCTGGCTGTCCGGCTGAGATCTCAGCAATTACAATTGCTAGAGGCTTTAAATTTTCACTAAAAGCTTTCTGTTATAGTGTAGATGTGCATTTACCAAAAATGCGCTTTCATCATGCATATGCTGATTTACACTTTACAGCACCCCATACCTCTTCCACTGTCATTTTTTATTTTTTTTAAACTTCAAATGGCATACCCCTGAACAAATTATAGCTCTGGATAGCCGAAACTACAAAATTGCCACTGATACTAATATATTCACGCATTCCACAAGAAAATCTCGGAGAAAAACCAAACCGAATTTAAAAAAAAACGTTCTGTTCTGAACCAAAGTCTGTCATGATGAAGCGATCAACGCGCGTTTCAAAAACATGTGGGGTGTTTGAATTGAATGAATCGAGGTTCCATAAAAATGGCACAGTTAATTACCACAACTTCCATTATTACGCCGATGAAAACTCGCATGCCATAAGAATTGCACATCACCAACAAAGATGGTCAATAAATGTTTGGGGTGGCATACTGGAATAGCACATTCTGGGTTCTTTAGACGGTAACCGCTATTTAGGGTTCCTTCGTGACGACTTAGCCTGAAAAATATACCTGTAGCCGCTCGACGACAAATCGAACAAGATGGAGGTCCTGCACATTACAGCCTTGTCCTTTCTTTGATATTTTCTTATGGAATGTGTGGTTTTGTTTGTATCAGTGGAAATTTTGTAGTTTCGGCTGTCTTGAGCTATAATTTGTTTAAGGGGTGCCATTTGCAATTTAAAAAATACGCCATTTGGCGAAGATCTCAAACAAATTCGAAAAACTGTCAAATTTTGAGAAAAAAGGTTACAACAGCGAAATCGTTAAAGTTCGGGATACCTATAATTATGTTATATACTCGTAAACAATAAGTATTTTTCAAGTGCCTACTTTCCAAATGTGCAATAAAATATGGGGTGTTGCCACTGGAATACAGCAGAGATCAAACATAGTTTAGAAACATGGCGACGGTAACTGGGTACAATTTTGCTCTAAGACTTTTTTTCTGTATCTTTTATGGCAACGGAATTATAATCCGAGGGGGATGCTACACCCTGTATAAATAACCCACGGATTTAATACTAAAAACATATTGCATAATAGCGTTAAGGTTACTCTGAAGACAAGTGAGGTTAAAAAAATGAATCGCTATAGCTCTACAGCAGCAATAGCATCTAGAGGGATATTATATTATGATTACTTCAAATTTTAACCTCCTAAATTGTTTCTGGAGCAAAATAATCGTGAAACTATCTTTACCGTGAAATTATCTTTCACCTAAAATTGATGGGTCCAAGCATTTTTCAAATCCTTAAACTAATTGAAAATAGCTGTACTACGCAACTTTTTATAGGAAACCGTACTTATTTTCAAAACTGAAAACTGTAAAGATCAGGCTAACATTCTTCGGCAGCCCCCGAGAATTTCTCATCTTATTTATCAAGATCCAGTTTAAACAAAAAAAAAGTTTCTTAAAGATAACCGCGAGTGGTTTTGTGTCTTTAACAAACTTTGTACGACCAGATTATTTGGATCAGTAAAGACAAAAAACTGTAAATAATTTAAGATTTTTTAAAATTTTGAATTATGAACCGTCTGCGAGGTATTATGTCCAAATAAGCTTTACAAGGTTTTCTTTCTTTCAGACTCTGTATTAATTTTTTTATGTGTTTCGGAATAAATTTTTGTCATCGTCAAACTTGTGTTATTATTCGAATCCTTTGTGCGATCCAGTTTCAACGGAGAAATCGGTAGCAATAAGTACGCGAAAATAAGTAAACACCTACCAGTTGTTCAAGAATGCTTGTCAATGATCCACTTGTGCCATTCCTCAAGGTAATGACGTACATACTTGGAAAATCCATCCATAAGAACGGTGGAACAGATACGATATGGTGATGCACTTTATTCCTCTCGTCTGAAAAAGAATAGATAAGTTAAAAACTGCGTAGGTACCTACTTAAGAAGAAGACTGTTTTATATCATAAAACTTATCATTTATTGTATCTAGAACACTGTTAAGGATTTTAAACAAAAGCGAAAAGCGGACTGTAATTTTGATTAATATTTTAAAAATAATAAAAAAAAAGAAAAGTGACTTACCCCAAATATTCTGTCTTTGATGGTATATAGTCTATACACCAATAAAGGATTGGAAACAAAGGATTGTGCAAAATTAGCGTATAACAATAATGATTAAAAACAAAACTGACTATGCGACTGGCGTGTGAAGCGTTAAACGAATATATTCAAAGTGATTTTAAACCTGCACTATACCCGCTGCATCTATAGATAATAAATAGGCCAAAGCGATAAAGTAAACTTAAATTTTATTTCGGCTGGTTTAGTTTTGCACGATTCTGGACGAAAGTTTGATCACGAGCGCAATAAATTCATGTCCCGCATATAAAATTTTGCCGAAATATCTGAGAAATATGTAGGAACTGAACGAAATTAGAGGAAATTTTCGGGAAATTTTGAGAAAAGCGGAGGAAATTTCAAAGGAATGAGGAAATTTTAAGGACATATTAAGAAATATTGAGGAAATCTAGATGAAAGTCAGAGAAAATCTAGAGAAAATTTTAAGGAAATAAAAGGTTTCTATAGGGAAGTAATGTTAGTACTTATTTCACGTTAATTCAGATAAATTTAGTGTAAATTTAGGGAAATTTCAGACAATGTTAGAAATGCGGGAAATTAAGGAAAACGGTAGCAATTGTTAGGCAATGAAGGAAACCATAAATAAGTCGTGACCAACCCCTAGATTCTGAATGATCATGGACAACGCTCAAATTAAAAACGAATGGGATACTGTTAGTTAACAAACTGAATTTAAATATATGGGATGTTAGTTTTTCGAAAATAACATACATGGAGAAAATTCATTGGAGGATTAATTAATACAAGCATTGATAAATACAATGATACAAGTTAAAATGCAAACACGTACCTACCCCCCTACCCGTACAACAGCAGGACCAACATGCCTCGAAGACGGTCGAATAGTTTGTGTGTATTATAGGAAAGTAATAAATGAATGCAAGGTTAACACCTTTGCGTGTTAGATAAGAGCAATTGGGTGGTTTTAAAAGGCAAGTTATTTGATAAGCGAAAACGTGATGTCATTTAGGATGCGTAATTTAGGGTCATTGATTTCTCTCATTTCGAAGATCATACGTTTAACGAATTTGTTGTAAATAATACTGTTTCTAAAATAGGGAACGAGCAAATTTTTATAATGAAAATGGGCAAGTTTACGGCGAATTTGACTAAACGTTGAGGACAAGCTAATTTAAATAGATTTTCACGTTCTAGAGGGGTATCATTAGTACGGATAAGATTGTGGTTATAAAGAAAGGAACTATTTAAGTTAAACTGTTTGTAAAGATTTGGGGGTCAGTTTGAGTTTAGGGTACAGAAGCGAAACGAAGAAAGATTAATAAGAGTTAGACAATGGTAGAGACGGATTCTGGGAGGCAATGATAACATTGAACTTCAACTATACGTTATGATATCCAATGACAAATTTGAAACTTATGGGATTAACAAAAAGTCTACAGCAAGGATATTTAAATTTTCAGGGGTGGAAGGAATTGCAATGAATGATGCTGTGGTAAAGGGTTTTGTAAATGTCCTTTATTTACAGTAAAATTACCTAATTGTAATTATTAAAAACCACTAAATTGTTTATAAGTGGTACCCTTGAAGATAAAGAAAATGTGCTTCAAGCATAAGTTTAAGGCGAGTATCAGCGTAATGAAATAAATTTTTGGCAATTTAGCGTCAATAGAGGAAGAGAATGTAGCAAAAAAGATTGTCTGTATGGAAGGTTAAATTGTGTTAATGGAATACATGGAATGGGGTTTGATGTAATTTGTAGTAGTTCAGGAGATTTTTAAACAGGGCCTTGCAAAAGAAAACAGTTAGTCCTCAATCGGAAACCGTGATACAGTCGGTTAAATTATAAAGACGTTGAGTATTTTAGGGCTTAGTAAAATGGTGTTTTAAATACTCGATGGTGCCCACAGATTTTTATTACGACATTTCGTTTTTGAGAAACCATCATCAATATTGTTATATGGACCGGAAAAAAGTAACACCCTGTAATTAAGAGCATTTTCGATTAGCTTTATATCGATGTAACGCACATTATAGTTTCCAAACATTTTGCCCAGAACAAAACTCGCTTCTCAAGAGTGTAAATAAATAACTGAAAGACAAGGCAGTCATTAAAAAAATCCTCAAGACCTCTGAAAGTTTTTCTATTGCTTTTAGGTGCCACTTGATAACAAACAAAAACCTTAGAGGATTTTGACTTTTAGCATTAGAAATACACCAAATCTTCTTGTAGGTAGAGGGTTGTTTTTCTTGGAAACTCCTAAATGCTTCTAAAACTTGTTTCATTTATTCATTTGTACTCGTATATTTAAACTGATAGACTTCTTTGTCTTACTAAGTTTCTTAGAGAAAATTTTTTTATATAAATTTTGAGTTTGTTCGTTCATGTGTTTCTCTAATAAGGCTTATAATAAAAGAGAACGATGAAAAGTTAAAACTGAAAGATGTTTTGCGGAGGATGGATTTCAGTCATGGACAGCCTATCAAAATAAGTTTAAAATGAATCCCTGATTTAGTTTCGCTAATTAAATTAAGGGTTTACTTTTTACTTTTATTTCGCCGAATGAAAGAAGCTGGCACCAATAATTTGGGAAACTTCAAAATCTGAGAATGGATGAAAGTTTCAACTCTGGTTTACTGCATATTATTAAATTTTTATCCTTGAGCTTAGTATTTGTGGAGATCCCCCACAAAGTTCCTGTACGTCATGATAAGTCCAGACTTTCGACAATTAAGTTATAATTTTAAAAGTATGGGAGGCCCCACGCAGCCCCCTAACCAGAAGAGAAAGGTCATCTATAGTTTTACAGTTTTTCGCAAATCGTTCAAATAGTTCCGCGAAAAAATTAATTCAAAACACCTCTCCTAAGTGTTTTGAAATGGAAGTTTCCTTATACGGAATACACCAAAAGTCCCGGAACGCTTAATTATCTCCGCTATGTGCAAATCAGTCTTTGTCAAATTTGATATGCGTATGCTACATAGAACAAAGAATGTCATTTTTTATTAAGTAACTACTTCTGGTTTAATGGGAACTTTCACCTACTGATTTTTTAATAGAAGATCCTGTATATATTTTTTTAATACACAATAAACTGATCTGTGTAGCTAATTTTTCGTATGAACGTGTCCATTCACATAAAATCTTAAACATCCATTTTAATTATTTGTCATTTGACACCCTGTATCAGTGACCGATTTACCAGCAGGCTAAATAGCAAGGAGCCTAGGGCAGCAGATTTACGGGGCGGCAAATTTGGCCAAACAGTTTTTGTCTTACAGAAATTAAAAAAAAAGCATTATGCAGGGTGAGGTTTTTTAATTTTCACTAAGGGAATCTCGTAAAACTAAGAGATACAAAGTTAGTAGCTCTACAGCTGCAATAGAATCTAGATGGATATTGTATTTATTAACATTTTAACCTCCTACATTGTTTCTGGAGTAAAATAATCGTGAAACTAACTTTACCGTGAAATTATCTTTCACCTAAAATTGATGGGTCCAAGCATTTTTCAAATCCTTAAACTAATTGAAAATAGCTGTACTACGCAACTTTTTATAGGAAACAGGACTTATTTTCAAAACTGAAAATTGTAAATTCTTTGGAATGTTTGGGAAGTTGAGATTAGGCGATTTGTGAAGTTAATATTAGGATTTTTCTTCTGTCAGATCCAGGATGTATACGAGGAGAGATTATAAAATTCTAAGTTTCAACAGACGGAGAAAACAGTAGCAATAAGTAAGCAAAAATAAGTAAACACCTACCAGTTATTCAACAATGCATATCAATGATCCACGTGTGCCATTCCTCAAGGTAATACTGGAAAATGTTCCATCCATGATAACGGTGGAACAGATACGATATGGTGATGCACTTTATTCCTCCCGTCTGAAAAGCAATAGATAGGTTAATAACTGAGTAGGTACCTACTTGAGAAGAAGACAAGTTTTATATCATAAAATTGATCATTTATTGTACCTAGAACACTTTAAAACAATTTCGGTCGGTATAGTTTTGCACGATTTTGGACGAAAGTTTGATCACGAGCGCAATAATTCTTGTCCCTCATATAGAAAATTTTGAGAAAATATCTGGGAAGTATGTAGAAACTGAACGAAATTAGAGGAAATTTTCGGGAAATGTTGAGAAAATAGGAGGAAATTTCAAAGGAATGAGGAAATTTTAGGGAAGTATAAAGAAATATTGAGGAAATCTAGAGGAAAGTCTGAGAAAATTAGAGTAGTAGTAAGAGTAAATCTAGAGAAAATTTTAAGGAAATAAAAGGTTTCTATAGGGAAGTAATGTTAGTACTTATTTCACGTTAATTCAGATAAATTTAGTGTAAATTTAGGGAAATTTAAGACAATGCTAGAAATGCGGACAATTAAGGAAAATGGTGGCAATTGTTAGGCAATGAAGGAAATCATAAATAAGTCGTGACCAACCCCTAGATTCTGAATGATCATGAACAACGCTCAAATTAAAAACGAATGGGATACTGTTAGTTAACAAACTGAATTTAAATATATGGGATTTTAGTTTTTCGAAAATAACATACGTACTTACAAGGAGAAAATTCATTGGAGGATTAATTAATACAAGCATTGATAACTACAATGATACAAGTTAAAATGCAAACACGTACCCGTACAAAAGCAGGACCAACATGCCTCGAAGACGGTCGAATAGTTTGTGTGTATTATAGGAAAGTAAAGTAATAAATGAATGCAAGGTTAACACCTTTGCGTGTTAGATAAGAGCAATTGGGTGGTTTTAAAAGGCAAGTTATTTGATAAGCGAAAACGTGATTTCATTTAGGATGCGTAATTTAGGGTCATTGATTTCTCTCATTTCGAAGATCATACGTTTAACGAATTTGTTGTAAATAGTCTAAAATTATAAAACTTTCTAAAACATGGAAACGAGAAAATTTTATTAATGAAAATGGAAAAAGTTTACGGCGAATTTGACTAAACATTGATGACAAGCTAATTTAAATTGATTTGCACGTTCTAGAGGGGTATCTTTAGTACGGATAAGATTGTGGTTATAAGGAAAGGAACGATTTAAGTTAAACTGTTTGTAATGATTTGGGGGTCAGTTTGAGTTTAGGGTACAGAAGCGAAACGAAGAAAGATTAATAAGAGTTAGACAATGGTAGAGACGGATTCTGAGAGGCAATGATTAATTGAACTTCAACTATACCTACGTTATGATATCCAATGACAAATTTGAAACTTATGGGATTAACAAAAAGTCTACAGCAAGGAAATTTAAATTTTCAGGGATGGAAGGAATTGTGATGAATGTTGCTGTGGTAAAGGGTTTTGTAAATGTCCTTTATGTACAGTACAATTAAATGTAATTATTAAAAAACACTAAATTGTTTATAAGTGGTACCCTTGAAGATAAAGAAAATGTGCTTCAAGCATAAGTTTAAGGCGGGTATCGGCGTAATGAAATAATTTTTTGGCAATTTGGCGTCAATAGAAGAAGAGAATGTAACAAAAAAGATTGTCTGTATGGAAGGTTAAATTGTGTTAATGGAATACATGGAATGGGGTTTGATGTAATTTTTAGTAGTTCAGGAGATTTTTAAACAGGGTCTTGCAAAAGAAAACAGTTAGTCCTCAATCGGAAACCGTGATACAGTAGGTTAAATTATAAAGACGTTGAGTATTTTAGGGCTTAGTAAAATGATGTTTTAAATACTCGATGGTGCCCACAGATTTTTATTGCGTTTCGTTTTTAAGAAACCATAATCAATATTTTTATATGGACCGGAAAAAAGTAACACCCTGTAATTAATAGCATTTTCGATTAGCTTTATATCGATGTAACGCGCATTATTGTTTCTAAACGTTTTGCCCAGAAAAAAACTCGCTTCTCAAGAGTGTAAATAAATAACTGAAAGACAAGGCAGTCATTAAAAAAATCCTCAAGACCTCTGAAAGTTTTTCTATTGCTTTTAGGTGCCACATGATAACAAACAAAAACCTTAGAGGATTTTGACTTTTAGCATTAGAAATACACCAAATCTTCTTGTAGGTAGAGGGTTGTTTTTCTTGGAAACTCCTAAATGCTTCTAAAACTTGTTTCATTTATTCATTTGTACTCGTATATTTAAACTGATAGACTTCTTTGTCTTACTAAGTTTCTTAGAGAAAATTTTTTTATATAAATTTTGAGTTTGTTCGTTCATGTGTTTCTCTAATAAGGCTTATAATAAAAGAGAACGATGAAAAGTTAAAACTGAAAGATGTTTTGCGGAGGATGGATTTCAGTCATGGACAGCCTATCAAAATAAGTTTAAAATGAATCCCTGATTTAGTTTCGCTAATTAAATTAAGGGTTTACTTTTTACTTTTATTTCGCCGAATGAAAGAAGCTGGCACCAATAATTTGGGAAACTTCAAAATCTGAGAATGGATGAAAGTTTCAACTCTGGTTTACTGCATATTATTAAATTTTTATCCTTGAGCTTAGTATTTGTGGAGATCCCCCACAAAGTTCCTGTACGTCATGATAAGTCCAGACTTTCGACAATTAAGTTATAATTTTAAAAGTATGGGAGGCCCCACGCAGCCCCCTAACCAGAAGAGAAAGGTCATCTATAGTTTTACAGTTTTTCGCAAATCGTTCAAATAGTTCCGCGAAAAAATTAATTCAAAACACCTCTCCTAAGTGTTTTGAAATGGAAGTTTCCTTATACGGAATACACCAAAAGTCCCGGAACGCTTAATTATCTCCGCTATGTGCAAATCAGTCTTTGTCAAATTTGATATGCGTATGCTACATAGAACAAAGAATGTCATTTTTTATTAAGTAACTACTTCTGGTTTAATGGGAACTTTCACCTACTGATTTTTTAATAGAAGATCCTGTATATATTTTTTTATTACACAATAAACTGATCTGTGTAGCTAATATTTCTTATGAACGTGTCCATTCACATAAAATCTTAAATATCCATTTTAATTATTTGTCATTTGACACCCTGTATCAGTGGCCGATTTACCAGCAGGCTAAGTAGCATGGAGCCTAGGGCAGCAGATTTACGGGGCGGCAAATTTGGCCAAAAAGTTTTTGTCTTACAGAAATTTAAAAAAAAAATCATTATGCAGGGTGAGGTTTTTTAATTTTCACTATGGGAATCTCGTAAACCGTAAGAGATACAAAGTTAGTAGCTCTACAGCAGCAATAGAATCTAGAGGGATATTGTATTATATTATTTATTAAACTTTTAACCTCCTACATTGTTTCTGGAGTAAAATAATCGTGAAACTAACTTTACCGTGAAATTATCTTTCACCTAAAATTGATGGGTCCAAGCATTTTTCAAATATTTACCTTAAACTAATTGAAAATAGCTGTACTACGCAACTTTTTATAGGAAACCGTACTTATTTTCAAAACTGAAAATTGTAAAGATCAGGCTAATATTCTTCGGCAGCCCCCGAAAATTTCTCATCTTATTTATCCAGATCCAGTTTAATAAAAAAAAAGTTTCCGAAGATATCAGCGAGTGGTTTTGTGTCTTTAATAAACCTTGTACGACCAGATTATTTGGATCACTAAAGAAAAAAAACTAAGTAATTTAAGATTTTTTAAAATTTTGAATTATGAACCGCCTGCTTGCGGAGTATTATGTCCAAATGAGCTTTGCAAGGTAGCCTTTCTTTCAGAGACTTTGTATTAATTTTATGTGTTTCGGAATAAATTTTTGTCATCGTCAAAATTGTGTTATTATTCGAATCCTTTGTGCGATCTAGATTTATTTCAGGTGTTAATCAAAAGCTGTATAATAAACTCTTTGGAATGTTTGGGAAGTTGAGAATAGGCGATTTGGGAAGTCAATATTAGGATTTTTCTTCTGTCAGATCCAGGATGTAAGTATACGAGGAGAGATTATAAATTTCTAAGTTTCTACAGACAGAGAAAACGGTAGCAATAAGTAAGCAAAAGTAAGTAAACACCTACCAGTTGTTCAAGAATGCATGTCAATGATCCACGTGTGCCATTCCTCAAGGTAATGACGTACATACTTGGAAAATGTTCCATCCATGATAACGGTGGAATAGATACGATATGGTGATGCACTTTACTCCTCCCGTCTGAAAAAGAATAGATAGGTTAAGAACTGAGTAGGTACCCCTACTTGAGAAGAAGACTGTTTTATATCATAAAACTTATTTATTGTAACTAGAACACTTTAAAACAATTTCGGCTGGTTTAGTTTTGCACGATTCTGGACGAAAGTTTGATCACGAGCGCAATAATTCTTGTCCCTCATATAGAAAATTTTGAGAAAATATCTGGGAAATATGTAGGAACTGAACAAAATTAGAGGAAATTTTCGGGAAATTTTGAGAAAATAGGAGGAAATTTCAAAGGAAATTTTAGGGAATTATTAACAAATATTGAGGAAATCTAAAGGAAAGTCTGAGAAAATCTAGAGAAAATTTTAAGGAAATAAAAGGTTTCTATAGGGAAGTAATGTTACTTATTTCACGTTAATTCAGAGAAATTTAGTGTAAATTTAGGGAAATTTCAGACAATGCTAGAAATGCGGGAAATTAAGGAAAACGGTGGCAATTGTCAGGCAATGAAGGAAACCATAAATAAGTCGTGACCAACCCCTAGATTCTGAATAATAATGAACAACGCTCAAATTAAAAACGAATGGGATACTGTTAGTTAAAAAACTGAATTTAAATATATGGGATTTTAGTTTTTCGAAAATAACATACGTCGGAGAAAATTCATTAGAGGATTAATTAATACAAGCATTGATAAATACAATGATACAAGTTAAAATGCAAACACGTACCCGTACAAAAGCAGGACCAACATGCCTCGAAGACGGTCGAATAGTTTGTGTGTATTATAGGAAAGTAATAAATGAATGCAAGGTTAACACCTTTGCGTGTTAGATAAGAGCAATTGGGTGGTTTTAAAAGGCAAGTTATTTGATAAGCGAAAATGTGATGTCATTTAGGATGCGTAATTTAGGGTCATTGATTTCTCTCATTTCGAAGATCATACGTTTAACGAATTTGTTGTAAATAATACTGTTTCTAAAATAGGGATCGAGAAAATTTTTATAATGAAAATGGCAAAGTTTACGGCGAATTTGACTAAACATTAAGGACAAGCTTAAAATAGATTTGAACGTTCTAAGGGATATCTTTAGTACGGATAAGATTGTGGTTATAAGGAAAGGAACTATTTAAGTTAAACTATTTGTAAAGATTTGGGGGTCAGTTTGAGTTTAGGGTACAGAAGCGAAACGAAGAAAGATAAAAGAGTTATTACGACATTTCGTTTTTGAGAAACAATGATCAACTTCATATTTTTATATGAATTTGTCTTACTAAGTTTCCTGGAGAAAATTTTTTTATATAAATTGTTAGTTTGTCCGGTCATGTGTTTCTCTAATAAGGCCTCTAATAAGGCTTATAATAAAAGAGAACGATGAAAAGTGTGAAAGATGTTTTGCAGAGGATGGATTTCAGTCATGGACAGCCTATCAAAATAAGTTTAAAATGAATCCCTGATTTAGTTTCTCTAATTAAATTAAGGATTTACTTTTTACTTATATTTCGCCGAATGAAAGAATCTGGCAGCAATAAATTTGGGAAACTTCAAAATCTGAGAATGGATGAAAGTTTGAACTCTGGTTTACTACACATTAAATTCTTATTCTTGAGCTGAGTACTTGTGGAGATCCCCCACAAAGTGCCTGTACGTCATGGTAAGCCTAGACTTTCGACAATTAAGTTATTATTCGTTAATAAGGCCGCACGCAGCCCCCTAACCAGAAGAGAAAGGTAATCTATATACAGTTTTTCGCAAATCGTTCAAATATTTCTGCGAAAAAATTAATTCAAAACACCTCTCCTAAATGTTTTGAAATGGAAGTTTCCTTATACGGGGTACACCAAAAGTCCCGGAACGCTTAATTATCTCCGCTATCTGCAAATCAATCTTTGTCGAATTTGATATGCGTATGCTACATAGAACAAAGAATGTCATTTTTTATTAAGTACCTACTTCTGGTTTAATGGGAACTTTCACCTACTGATTTTTTAATAGAAGATCCTGTATATATTTTTATGTCTTACTAACCTAAACTGATATCTATACTCTCGGGCGACTAAAAAGCTCTCGGGCCATAGGCCCTCGAGCTTTTTAACTCGTCGCCCTCGAGAATATAAACATCACTATTATGCCCTTAATACGAGTACATAAATAACTATTTTAATACACAATAAACTGATCTGTGTAGCTAATTTTTCGTATGAACGTGTCCATTCACATAAAATCTTAAACATCCATTTTAATTATTTGTCATTTGACACCCTGTATCAGTGACCGATTTACCAGCAGGCTAAATAGCAAGGAGCCTAGGGCAGCAGATTTACGGGGCGGCAAATTTGGCCAAACAGTTTTTGTCTTACAGAAATTAAAAAAAAAGCATTATGCAGGGTGAGGTTTTTTAATTTTCACTAAGGGAATCTCGTAAAACTAAGAGATACAAAGTTAGTAGCTCTACAGCTGCAATAGAATCTAGATGGATATTGTATTTATTAACATTTTAACCTCCTACATTGTTTCTGGAGTAAAATAATCGTGAAACTAACTTTACCGTGAAATTATCTTTCACCTAAAATTGATGGGTCCAAGCATTTTTCAAATCCTTAAACTAATTGAAAATAGCTGTACTACGCAACTTTTTATAGGAAACAGGACTTATTTTCAAAACTGAAAATTGTAAATTCTTTGGAATGTTTGGGAAGTTGAGATTAGGCGATTTGTGAAGTTAATATTAGGATTTTTCTTCTGTCAGATCCAGGATGTATACGAGGAGAGATTATAAAATTCTAAGTTTCAACAGACGGAGAAAACAGTAGCAATAAGTAAGTAAAAATAAGTAAACACCTACCAGTTATTCAACAATGCATATCAATGATCCACGTGTGCCATTCCTCACATAGAGGCAGGGATAAAAATAGAGTAAGGCGAGATTTTCACTTAGGGGTCAAAGTGTAGGGCAAAACAATACATATGCTGAGATACGCGGATGACATAGTAATACTAGTAGAAAGGGGAAGGGATCTAGAAACAGGATTAAACGGTATGGAGGGAATACTATCTAGACACTACAGTATGAAAATCAACAAGGAAACAACAAAAGGTATGAAATGCGCCAAAAGAGAGGATAGGAAAAAGATAAAGATCCGAATAGGAAACGACACTTTATTATATAAAGGAATTTTGCTATTTAGATAGCAGTAGCAAGATAGATAATCGTAGCAAGGAAGATATAAAATCCAGGATAGTGCAGACTAAAAAAGCATTTGAACAAAAGCGGTACCTGCTAAGATCCGGGATACATATAGGGGCTCGATCCGAAGTCGTTGTGATAGGCGTCAGGAGTCACCTCAAACTTATTTCATGCGTGGCTGTGAACGTGGTTGACCTTCTCCACCGAACACTTAGGACACACGAGAGAATATTATATTCGTACACATAATTATAAAAATTTTTTTGACATACCTAATGCTTCTTGTTGTAGATCTGAAGTGTAACGAACTCTGCGTCCAGTGTCATGGAACATCGTGCCTAAATGCCACGTCGTCTCTTCAGGGTGCCCATGCAGGTAAAGCGGAAGACGAGGAGAACTACGAGTCGGTAATTTCAGACGACCCACTACTACTAGAGGACGTCAGATATAAATGAATGTGTGAATATTTTTATATGAAAATACTGTTTTTACTTGTATAAATGGTACATAGAAATAGAAATACTTTGTTTTACAATGAATATTTCCTTACACATGAAACTTGAAGGTAAAAGGTGACTTTACGCCACTCTTCAGTTACCTACTCGTGTGAAATTTCACGAGGGACATTTTCAGCTAAAAATATTTCATCTACCCCAAAGGTCGCGATATATTTGTAAAAAACCGCAAAAAGCCACGAAAATTGATGATTTTCGCCTACTTGTATGAATTTTCTAGGCTAAGAGGTAGACCTAGGCTAAATTCTGGGTGTATGCCTTGTACGAAATTTCACGAGAAATATTTTCAGCTAAAAATATTTCATATAGACCTCATAGATCGCGAGATATCAACCAAAAAGGGCGAAAACACGGTTTCTGGGGGGGTGATGGGGTGGCTGGAGCCTTTAGCACAGGGCCTGGGGGGTGGGATTTTTAATTGTTGTTTCTGACACCTAACTGAACGTATTCCAGCTATTTTTTCTTTTCTACGTCAAAATGTCAAGTTTGCCAATTTTACAGGCCCTACCGCCTAGACTAAAATTATAAAACTAATTAATTAGATAGACCGCTAGATAGCATTTGTGTTCAGTTTTTGATGTCTTTAGATTAGAGCGCAGGTATATAACATGTAAATAGATATAATAAAAATGAGTTTGAGTTGATGTTCGATTACGCTTTGTTGTGATTGTTTATTTGCCCCATAATTCAGCCAGTAATTCCGCTACCGCTAACGCTACGAAACACCTTAATTTGAGTGTTTGTGTTGCTCTTTAATTTGAATAGAAGATCATAAGTTCTTTATGCTTCTATATCCAAAAATGTGGCACTCTTTAATATTAGGTATGTAATGAAAACTAGTAATTGTCATTAAAAAAATATATGCCCCTCTTCGCCATGCAGGAGTACGCCACGGACCACAAATTTAAACTATGTCGATTGGTAGCAAATTTTGTATCATAGTGGATACCACGAAAAACTTCCATGCAAAAATTGTAGTTTTGAAGATATGTTCAGTGTTCCAGACAACAATTCCACTCTGTGTAATGTTAATTATTATACTCGGACTCTAACCCCACAGGTTGTGAGTTCGAATCTCACAACTTGATTTATTACAGAGTTTGTTAATATAATGGATAATCCACTGTTTTTGAATAAACGATTTCTTCTCCATTGGCGCATGATTTTGTTTAAATTGTGGATTAAATCTAGCAACATCGATGTATGTAGAACTTTTTTAAAAGTAACTAACTATTACTATTGTTTAAATAAAGTATTTAAACAATGCTATGTATTACTCTGCTTTTTAATTATCTAGTTATTCAAGTAACTTAAGTTACCTTTTAGAAAGGTGTAAAAACAATATTTTGGAAACGTTTAGACAAATTAAGAAATGGGAATAATAATAATAATAATAATAATAATAATATAATAATGATTTTTTTTTTTGTTTTGTTTTCCTCTTTCCTGATAGCGTTGGCTATTGTGCCCATCAATAGGTATGTTGGTAAGTACAAATTACATTATCCCTAGATGTCCAATGTACGTGTGTGATTTTTTTTTTTTTTTTTTTTTTTTTTTT